CTTTAGGGAATACAAATATTTCCCCTTGGAGAAATATTGCAAATACAAGCTCCCAAGTTGATGTTTATCCATTTTGTCCAGTGATTAACCAGCTCATTTTCCTCCTTCCTTCTTGTATTTTCCCTAACCTGAAATAAACAGAAAATAATAAATTGTAAGCTTGTACTTTGCTCCGTCACTTTTGAATCTGTTAGGGTTTGTTCAGCAAGTATTTGGAGTGTGAACCTCAGTTTGCTGATACTGGGGTGCAACTCCTGCAGCAACTACGCCACTGTGGCATTTTGGGGACTACCCAGACCAGTAAGGGATCCTGTCACCACCTGCCCTGTAAACCTTAGTGGCCTTTGTGCTGTGCATGTATGGTTCAATTCCCCAGTAGCCAGCCTACAAGCATCAGGTCTCACCCTGGCTCTCGCTAGTTACTCCTTGCAGGGTGACACCAACGGCCCTTCCAGTCCCAAGCCTCTCCAAATACGTCCTCCCTGAGTTCTTAATTACCAGAGACTTGGACCGTTTCCCTCTGGTTCATCACCTGCAAAGATGTGAAACCCACTTCCGAGATATCAGCCTACTTTGGCTCCCACTCTCCATAGTTTACACACCAGAGACCTGCTTGTGGGAAAAATAAAATAAAAAAAGTTTCTTTACTAGAAAAATCAGATTCAAAAATAAAATAGTAAAGGAAATAAAAAAATATACAGGTTACAGAGAAACCCAAAAACGCAGCCTCAGGTTTTATGCTCTCTTATTAGATAAAATCCCTTTTCTAAGGCAAGTTATCTGTTGCCTTAAGTCAATTTCTCAGCATACCCGTGAGCTACAGGAGGGGGACTGAGCCTTCACGGACAGCCTCCAATTTTGAGGCTGTCCCTCAAGGTCTAGATTTAAAAAAAAAAGCTTAAATCAGTCCCAAGCCTGTTTTTAAAAGGCTCACCACCCCACCCCCAGTCCATGGTGACTCATGTTTATTCAGAGTGGGGAAATTCCCTCTTGACTTGATAGCCAGGGATGTCTCAATGTCTTTCCAGTAACTCTATTGGTCCATCACTGTATTTTCCTGGGCAGGACGGTGGATCATTACTTGAAGCTGGTTTCACATGAACACCTGGCTGGAGTTGCCTGTTCTCGCTAACTACTCAACGCCCTGTTGTGAGTTGTAGTTGTAGTAGAGATTATGAACACAGTTTTCTACATACACAAACATATAGATTCATAACCACAGTCTATATACATCTTATGATGGCAACTAAGTTCAGAACATTACAAGGTTTCATAAAAGACTTGATATACTTTTATAGTACAGTAATACAGTATACAATCAGTTGCTTTAACTGCTTGTTTGGGGGTTTAAATCTTCTATCCTCCACTTGAGGTATCTGGACCATCACTGTCGCACAGGCCATCTGAACATGGGTTACAGCACCAAATGTTGGTGAGAAGATTGTGTGTGTGAACAGGAGGGAAATTAGGAACAACACACGAGTAAAAGCCCTTAGTATTTTGATGAACATTCATTATTTCTCCAAAATGTTAATGGACCATAGCCTCACTACACATTCAGCTCTACCACCTGCATTTTCACCCTATTTGCTATCAGTTAATTGGGTCTGAGATAAAGGCACCACATTAGATGTATGTATAAACAGATTTCACACGTTTGCTTTTACTGGCTGTTCTTCCTGCTTCCGATTCAGCCTACATACTCTTATCACCACAAACTGCTCTCAGTTCCAGGAACATTCTGACAAATACAAGAACTAATGTGTGCGCTGACCGACCAAAAAAAGATGGCTTAGGCCTGGTCTATACTAAAAAGTTAGGTCAACCCAGCTACATCACTCAGGGTTGTGAAAAATCCACACCCCTAATGGCATAGTTAAACCGACCTAACTCCAGGTGTAGACAGCATTTGATTGATTTAAGAATTCTTGTGTGGATTTAGCTACCAACTCTCAAGGGAGATGGATTACCTACATCAACGGAAAAACTCCTCCCATCGACATAGGTAATAATGTTTTCACCCCTCGGCTCACATCTACACAGCACTGCAGCTGTGCCACTGTAGCATTTCAAGTGTAGACAAGCCCTTAGTAAAAAACACACTGGGTTCACTGAAGAAGCAATGCATTGTCTGTGAGGGGCAACATATTTAAAGCATGATTAACAAACCTCATATCCTTGTTGTATTGCCCCCATTTAAGAATTTACTAAAAGAACCCAAGCAAGTAATTTAACAGTAGACCGAGACGGTGTTTCTACACACAAGATCATGCTACACCTAAATCTACACAATCACTTTAGATCCTGAACATAATCCATAATGAAATTAAGTTACTGAGTCAGATTCACAGCTGATGTAAACTAAGGTAACCCTATTGGGTTCATGGAGCTGTGACAATTTACACCAGTTGAGGACTTGGCCCTTTTAATCCAAACTGCATACAGCCTCTACACTTTAAGGGTAGTGCATTCTCCATCTTTATACAGATATGGCTTTAAAGGATTCTTTAACAGTGTAGAATATTTGCCTCAGCAGTAATTCATCCACAGTACAAAACCACTGACCTTCTGTGACATTACAAAAATAGATAGTTCCTTCTTGATACTCTTAAGCAACACAATAGCTAGCATAACCCTTTGACCCCAAAACAGGCAGGTTTATGAGAAGTCTATTAATACCTGGCTTCTTGTTTTCTTTCCTCCCCCGCCACCCCAAACCAAAACAAAAGGTCTCTCACAAATGAGCTATTAGCTACTGATACTATGAAACAAAAGGCTGTCTTGTCCCATCACATGAATAAAAATGAGCAAGGAAGGGTTAGAGGATCCACCAAGCAATTCTTTACAACCTCTAGTGTATGATACTCTACACTGCAGAAGGAAGTCAATGCATTCTGACATAACAGCTGTACACAGTTATATTAATTAAAATAAAAAACTGGTCCACATAATATACAAGCTATTTACTGAACTTCAGTGAAAGCTGAAAGAACAATATCTTTAAAGATGGATAATTTAAGAACAAGTTGACTAGTTTTACTAAAGCCAACAGCATAAAGAAGATATGCAAGTATTTGAGAAACAGTCACAGCTATTTAAAGTCAAACAAAAAAACACTATCTACTATAAAAAACACACAAAGGAAGTGGGATAGATTACGTCAGCCCTTGCCTCAATTCATAAATCCTAACCACAAGACAAGAGAAATTCTAAACTGCCTTTCACTGGAAACTGCTTAAAGTGAATACACGCAGTTTAAGTCTTAAAATATGCTATTGAACAGCATTCGCTGATGCATCACTTTCAACAGCCACAGGGGAAAAAAAATGGTGTAATCCTAGTCAATTCTATCATGCAGCCAGATCAAATAACATTTCAAAACCTGGCTGCCAAACACCCAGCCTGCCAGAGTACAATAAGCACTTGAGTGTGCTGGACTCAAAACCACCTTTCACTGCTCCCAGAGATCTTTATAACATAGTTTAAACACTACTAAATTACAGGGTTGGAAAAAAACAAAAAAGCTTTTAAATGTTGCTCCCACACAATTCTTCAACTTGCTGTAAAGCATCTAAAATGTCTGCCTTGTGCTATTTTACTAGGCAATATAGCTATTCAAACATGTGCCTTTAAGAACAAAAATCTGACAAAAATGCAGATTGCGCTGCAAGTCTGGAACTAATTGCCCACAGATCAATGGCTTTACATTGAAATAACGCTGCCCTGTCTGTAGGGTTTTAAATCCTATTTACTTTAATTTTGAGTTCCCAGAAGGAATCATTTGCTAGAATGTAGAATATTTAAATTTAGACTCCACGAATTAAGGGTCACATTTCTGTTCTCAACTTTTACATATTTTAGAACTCTTAAAAAAATCTGACTAATTTTAAATTAAAAATTAGTCTCCTTGTCAACTGCCATTTTCATTCACATACAATTAAAAAAGAACCCCATATGGCTGAAAGGAAGCCATCCAGTCACACAATACCCCATGCAGCGTAATGCCACATGTACTCAAGAAAGGCTTAAAAACGGATTGTAAAACAAAGTAGAGCTGGTTTCTTTCTCAAGAAACAGAAAGTGGTCAAGCAGGTCTCCCTGTCACTTCATCTAAGAACAGGGTTTGAGCAAACATTATAAAAGAACCTTACACCAACCACTGTAGCAATTAAAATTTAAAAGGCATTCCAAGACACTCCTGCACCTTAGCAAGTGGAATGGAAGTGGATTTTCAACCAAGCAAGGAAACTTCATTCTTCACCTCACTTGCGTATAATAGTTTAGACTCAAAACGTTTGCTCTGTTTAGCTAACTTTGTTAGATTAAAAACATACAAAGCAAAACATTCACCTGAGAAAGAGAAACCTGTGGCCTTAAAACACTCTGAGCTTGCATTCTGGGTAGGGTGACCAGACAGCAAGTGTGAAAAATCGGGACAGGGGGTGGGGGAGTAATAGGAGCCTATATAAGAAACAGACCCAAAAATCGGGACATCTGGTCACCCTAATTCTGGGCCAGTAAAAGCTATCACATCACATACCACGTTGATCCAACTTTCCTTGAAAATCTGGAATATCCGGGAGGGCAAAAATAAATGAATAAAGTCAAGAGTTTCTCTATCCAGGTGTTTTCTGTTGTACAGTGAGAGTGGTTTATTATCATCATTATTCTATTTTAAGACTAGTAGGGTGACCATCTCAACATTCTCCTCCGAAGAGAACTTCATTTTGTGTAGTGCCTTTCATGTACCGTTAACTATAGTTACAGAGTTAAGCAGTAAATAATCCAGTGTGTAAACCCACTCTCTGGACTCACACCCATAGCATGACCTGCAGCAGATCTGACTTCCTTCAACTATAGCCCACTTACAGGAGTCAAAAGCTGCAGCCCTAGCATCCAAGGACTTCAGCCAGGACAGGGTGCAAGGTTCCTGTCCATCTCAGCAGCCACATACGACAGCCCACGCCCCCCCCCCCCCCTCCTTTGCGCTGCACACTCACCCAGCCAGCCTTGGGCTTTAAGCTTTGCAGTTCCTGGAGGAGCCGGACAAACACAACTTGTCTGCAATCCTAGCAGCGGCTACAGCCTGACCCCTGCGGACTTTGTGTTTCTTCTCCGGAGCCTGCAGGACGGGGGCTGCTGCGGTGTCCAACAACATGCAGGAGCATGCAAGGCCCATGGAGGAGAAGAGGGAGGGAAGGAAGGCAGGTAGGAAAGGGGGAAGGATAGGGAGGGAAAGGAGGAAGGCGGGGGGGGGGGAAGAGGAGAAATGCACTTGGTGAACAAAAGGAGGCCCCCTCTTCTTTACTGCAGAGTCGCTGGGCCAGGCGGAGGAGAGAGCAGCATTGCCCGAGCTGGAGCCTGCCCGCCCGCCCTGGGTGCCCAGCCAGAAGCCCCCTGGCTTGCTGCAGTTGGCTCCCCTCAGCACATGCACACTGTACTGCTGCTCCCCCTCTCGCAGGCTCCGAGTCCTCAGCTGCTCGGCTGCAGACACTTCCACATGCCTCTGTGACCCAGTCTCTTTTCTTTTACCCAGACACCAGGAGGAGGAAAAAAAGAGACAGAAGCACAGCCTCCAAAAGACAACAGGCGGTGGAGAGGAAAACCCGGAGCGGAGTCCGGCGGCAGCAGCTCTGGCCATGCACAGGCACACAGGGAGCAGGCTCGGGCTGCCTCTGGTGCTTATCCCTCCAGTGCAAATTACACCACGAAACAGGCTGAACACACACACATTCCAGTCTCCGGCAGGGTTTGATGCTTGATGCCTAACACTTCAATACACAGACTCAGCTCTCTGTTCTGTCTTTGGTGGTGGTGCCTGTCCTCCTCCTGGCCACACTCTCCGCCTGCCACACACACACACGACTCAGTTCTCCATGCTACTTGTGCTGCTCTCCATACATCTTTGGCCATATACGCACGCACGCACCTCCACTCTCCTTCTGGCTGATGCTCTTGCCTATCCTTTCCCTCCTCCCCACTCAGCCCAGCCGGAACCGAGCTGTGTGATTGATGGCAGCTCTTTAATAGCGTGGTCAGCTAGAAAATGCATCTGCAAGCAAGATATTAAAGAGGCAAAGCATCCCCGGGAGTGATCAGCGGCTCACATCCTAGAGCTGCAGCCAGGAATATTAATGAAACAAACCTCCTTACATCTACAAATGCAGATCAAAACACAGGGGGGTGGGAAAAAATGCAGATAAAAAAAATAGAGGGGTGGAGGGAAGCACACACAGAGCATTTGTTCCAATGATGGATAAGAGAGAGACGCCTCTCTGGTGTCACATTAGAGACATTTCTATACAAGGATTTTGTTGTAGTTTATTCAACCAGTAAGCCATTTTGTTAAAATCCTCTCCAACCCCCACTCCCCTTTTTCATAAGAGACTAAAGCTACATCTGCTAAGCAAGGCACCTTTTAAATTTGATTTGATTGAAATTAATCTAATAGTGAAGAAATAAATACACACTCCTACCATGCAGCTTTAAACAACGTGATACTTAGCTGCCAGCTTCAAGTATCACCCCCCACTCCCGCTTAATGCGATAATAATAAAATCTCGCAGCTGCCTAAAATGACCAACTTCATTTTGGAGCACAGCCCTTTAGATCTCTAGTTCAGAATAAAATGTACGACTACCAAAAAAAAGTTGTTTATGCAGTCCATGAATGGTGGCAACAAACAATCTCTTTTCTGTCAAATAAATAAAGGGCTTAGCTATATAGTAATGATGTTTTATCTTTAACTAAATGACTGACGCATACACCTCAGTACTGCTTTACAACCCCCACACACCAATAAAAAAAAAAAGATGTCAAACCAAAGTTCATGATTCCTTTTTTCTATATCAAGTCCCCATGAATGTCAAGTATTGTCCCCGGCCTTGTTTTTCCCCCAGATATTGTACATTGTGTTCTGATTTGTATTTTTTCCATAGGCATTTATATGGTGTTCATCACGGTAGGGTCCAAGTCTTTCTCAAAATAAAAATGTACAACCTTATAATTTTAAATTCTGTCCTTGCTGGAAATAGCTTCCTAAACCACCAACACAGCTAATGCACAAATAGCTGATGAAGTACAACACCCTTGCCACCCTGAAAGGCTGCTGTGATCAATACAAATTGAAGGTGGTGTGTAGTGCAAGGTTGGCTCTGTTGCAAGATCCATTGTACATTAGCTTCTCAACAGGAGCCCATCCTAGGGGGAAATGTGCTGCTTGAAAATAAACTTCATAACCAAGTGGCTTTGTGATAACTCCACACCCATCAGAGCTGAAATCAATCCGCAAGTACAAAGCAACCACACTGCATTCATTCCCACTTCAATTTTCTGATCAAGTATGGCCGGATACATGGCAAACCATGGGAAGTAGCTTATTTCTCCAGTGCCCACTTAAGAAAATGTTTGCTTTCAAATGACATCCAAAAGAGTTTTCTTGCAGTAAGCCAATGCTAAGTTCCATTTACATGAAATATGTCCCATTTTGCTGGATTTTCAAAGGCACCTATGTGATTTAGGCGCATGAATTCCAATCACTTAGGCACCTTTGAAAATTTTTAAGGCATTTTGGAATCCGTTTTCATGAAAGATGCCAAACAAAACAGTAATGGTCCAGTGAGAAGAGCAAGATAGGACAATTGGGTTGTATTCCTGACTCAGCCACTGATTTACTGTGGGATCTTGGAACAAGTCTTAACCTCACCGTGCCTCAGTTACCCCATCTATAAAATGGGTCTAGTAATTTCCATTTGTACATCAGATATCTTTGGATGACAGGAGTTAACTGTGTTCCAAGTATTAACAGGTTTCACAAACTAACTGACCAATGCTCATAACATCCCTGTGAGTGAGGGAAGCATTATCTCCATTTTACAGATGGGCATATAAAACTGCTTGCGAAGGATCATGTACAGTGATCAGAGCACTTACCTTCATGGCAATTCTGTTTCATTTGTGAAAATTTGATCTGAGAATTAAACAACCCAAACACTATTTTGTAGTAGGTGCTGTCTCTCTTCTTCATATTCCCCCAAACCCACTCTCTAATAAAGGCCAAAGGCTTTTATTCAATCTAGTTCTCTCAGTTGGCGGGGGCCAACTGAGAGAATATATTAAACCAGTCAAGAGATTGCTTTTCAAACTACACAGTGTAAAAATTCAAGGCAGGAGATCTGCAAATGGGAAACAGGGATTTTAAAAGAATATACACAAGAACAGCTCGCTGTAATCTGTTTGTTTTTTTCCCCTCAAACATCATACTCATACATTAGACAAAAATCACTAGAAAATATCCTGTGGGCAATAATCCTGCACTGGCCTGGAGAAGATGAACTAGATGACCAAATAGATCTTTTCAGTCTGTAGTTTCTATGATTCACACAATAGATTATTTCCCATTTGCTGTCTTTGGTCCAGTTTGCATAATTTCCCAGTGTTGTGCAAAAGGAAGACAACTCCAATCCATACAAAATCCAGCCCGGATTTCACAGGAGTCTCCATTTATCAAAACAACCCTGTCATGTTGAGTACCATTAACAGATAATGAAAGGAGACAAGGGATGCAGTTACAAGCAAAGCACTCGGCATTCTACAGGCCTAAGCATGCAGCCAAGTGAGCCGACATCTGACTTTATTATAAGCATTATAATTAAATAGAATACCTAGTTTAAGTAACATTACGGTTGTGACACAAGCCAACAAAAGCTAGGAAATTCAAAGATAAGGCTTTGACACCCTGTCATTAACTCCTGCTATTGTATAAGTGTTGTCTTCTGTGTGTGTCTCTCACACTGCTTGAATTAACTGGAAAGTCAGCCTTACCTTCCAATTTCCCAACTTTTGCTGGTTTCTGTGGACACTAACCTTGTATATGGCACCTATGTGCTTCAGCTTGTGAAACATCAAGCACTTAACAGGGCAGAGTGACATAAAGTGTATTTTTAAAGGGCTATAAAGGTGCTGCTTTCTAGACACACTTCATAGGACACGAATAATTCATAACCTCTTGTGAGAGCTTTACAAAATTTGAAAAACATGAAATACAGATATACCCCAAGGCCACAAGATCTATAGTACAACTGCTTTCAAAATTTCTTCTGAGAGATTTAGCCATCATCAGGTATGCATAAATATTTCACCCACCCACCAGGCAAACTGCTCCAAAGAAGCTGTTTATGCTTTGGCAGGCAATCTAATCATGAAAATACTTGATTTGATCATATAGAGCACATAAGAAAATTTTAATAATGCGTTTTTAAACATAAAAACTAAAAGGTTTGCCATATAACATTTAAAAGCACTCTACACCTACACAGTCCAGTTTTTGCTTTTAAAAACAGGTTCCACACACTGTCTGGTTGGTGTGAACTGTAACAAGCAAAGGGTGTTAAGCCCATTTTCAAGAATAACTTGATCTTGACTGTCTTCTAAAAGAAGGTTTAACGTTCTTTTGCCTGGCTCATATAGGCAACAAGCATAACACAGTAAGTCCATGTTAAGCTGAACCTATTTTTGAAAATTGATTTAACTAACGTAGCTTTTTCAGGACTTTATCTACACCAGGCTCTCTTGCCAGGGTTTTTCCATTGTTCACACCACTGCTGGTACTGCACCAGTATTGTTGCAGGTCATTTCCCCCGGGGAGGGGGGGGGGGGGGAAGTTCTCACCCCCTAATACTTGGTACATCCCCAATGGTAAGAACAACAATTGGAATTCTAAATGGTTAAAAATAAGCCCAATATTCAGCTAGCCTAAGGCTGAAATATTACAAGACAAAAAAATACTTATTACAGCAGTTAACTGCATACTTGTGACCTCATCCAGAGATGGAAATGGCTTGGCTATTAGTGCCAACAGATCCAAACCATAAAAAGTGCACTAGACACCTCACTACATCAGCATGCGTTTTGCAATGGGTGTTGAAAAGTCTGGCACTGTTTACTGTAGGAAGCAAACTTTTCAATCCTGTTTTTGTGAGCCAAAAGTGACCTACCTTCTTCACCAGTTGTCAGTAATGGATCTTAGTATAAAGAGAGCTGAGGGTAGATGGTTTCACAGGTCTTGTTAAGAGCTAAGTATTGCTGTCTATAGTCTGAGCAAGTTTAGAGAACCTGAAATGCCAGGAAGTTAC